CGTTATTGATTGCTTTATTTACTAAATATTAGTAGAAGTATTATGAATCAAAAATGGAATGATTTTAAAAAATAAACTTAACCGTTATAGAAATAATTCTAACTGGCTTTTATTAAAAAAGAATCCTAAACGAACCATGAATTAAGTATTTCTTTTTTTGTAAATTCGATAAAAAGTACGTTTTGGTAAGTTGTTTCCAGTGATTTTGCTTTTTTAGCGATAGTTATGAAATGGACATACGGAAGTGTTATATTGGTTGCATGTATGTACGTCCGTAAAATTTAATTGGCAAGGTTGTTTGAAGTATTAGCTTTTAGGAAATATCCAATTGTTTTTAAATATAGTAAAGTAGATTTGCTGTTTTGTTAAATTACCTATACAATTAATAAAAATATTTAACATCACAAAAACTATTTTTACACATTCTTTTTAATATAAGAAATTAAAAGTGAAACAGCATTTAAAAAAATCGTAAAACGAACATTTATTGACAAGTTAATTAAATTTTGTTGTTCTTGAGGATGACCTTTACAATAAATTTAACATTTCTTTACGCCTTATAATCATATCTATTTATGGCTATAACGTCATTCTAGCTTCGCTGTTCACAGGTAATTTCAAAAATTTGTATGAACCAACGACACCTTCCGAACATCTACGAATTCCTCACCGATCGACATCGGAGCTTACCTTGATTTTGCTTTCGCTGTCCGCAAAGGTGATATTAACGGGCGGTCGGGATAGTTACAAAGCTGAATTGTGCGGTCAAACTTCGCGAGGTTAAAGGACAAATCCGATCGGACAACGGACAACCATGAAACGCAATATTATAGCCGGATTATGTGAAAAAACGACGAAAGCAAGCTACCGAATTTAAATTTCGGTAAAGTGATCCAATTGATAAGGAATTAATATAATGAACAGGTGATCGTGTTTTATATCTGAAGTGAGCGTAGTTAAAAGTTTTTTGTCCGGGGAACATCTGTGATACATTGCTATCTGTTCAGGTCTTTGCGTGGATTTACTAGCTGTTCCGTGTTATTTCGGTAAGAGAACTGATACCTATTTGGTATTATAATTATGGAAAGATGCGATAAATGTTTTAATTATTAATAAAAGATCTTTTGACGATACGCACTGTTTGAAAAATTGTATTTGAAACTAATCCTAAAACAAAATTTCTAATTAACAAATTATTTCTTTTGTCTCAGGTTAGATAGACTATTTGTATTGTATTTTTTTTCTTTATAGTTACTTTGCAAAACTATGGAAAAGTAAAAACTATCTGTTTTAGATAAAGAAGTAACCAAAATTTTACATGATATCTATGGAAATGCGAAAAAAGAAGCAATAAGCCCTAATAAAAAAATTAAAGTTGCACCCATCATGCCAAATCCACAGCAACAGCCCAAGAACAAAATAAATTTTCCAGCAAATATTACTTTATCAACTGCAACCAATGAAGAGCCAAGTGTTTCAGCTCCTGTTAGTCTTCTTGTGGTTCCTGCTGTTACAGTTAATAATAGTGATATTTCTGTTGGTAAGTTGTAGGTGTAATCCTTTTATTACAATACCTACTGTGAGTAGATTTTTTAGCTCTCTCTATTTCTAACTCTTTTTCTCTCTCTCTCTTTTTTTTTGCTAATCGCATTTCTTCCTACTATTTTATNATTACTATAATTAACCGTTGTGAATAGATGACAAATCAAAAGTAAACGGAGACTAAAATACTTAAAAAGATATGGATTTAGAGATTTAACGTAAAATCAGGTTTTGGCAGGGGAAAACTTAGGTTTAGAAGCAGTATCCAAACCTTCCCTTCTTCAATAATGAATGAAGAATCTGAGCTGACCAAGGAGAAGAAATTACTATTCCAAAACCAAATCAAGTTTCGCTCTAAATTGTGGACTTTTTCATAGTTGTTTTTCAAGAAATGACCACAATATAGGACGAAACATCGGTTTGGTTTTTAAGTAATAATAAACGTTTTTACCCTGATCAGGTCAGTTTCTTCAGTTCTAAACTTTTCGTAAACTATTTTTGCTGCAGTGTTTGTTCAAATTTTATTCTGACGAGTCAAAAATTAAAGATAGGGTTACACTTCTTTAATCAAGTACCTGTCTCATGCCTGAACGATTAAAACGGAAAGGTTAAACTTTTAAACCCCTTCTTTGATACTTTTATGGTGATCTGTCTAGAGTTCTGGAATCGCTCTACTCAATGGAGTAACTGAAAAAAGTTATGTACACTTTTCATTTTAGGGTTGGGGGTTTAAAATAGTATATTACGCTTCGTGAGTGTTGCCTTCTCCTATCGAGAGTATGCCATTAAACCAATTAATGCACCGCATTGCAGCTATGACCCTGAGATAGATGCATAATAGTATTAAAACATGGTCTTGGTATGGTACACCCTCTTTCTTCGCGAGACCCGTATAAAATTTTTATCATTCATCATACCCTTCCCGAAAGTATGATTTTTTTCTCATTAGGAAATAATAGTTTACATCAAAAAGACAAAAAAGTGCAACATAACCTTTACTGTTTATTGGGAATGTATTTTACGATAATATCCTCCCCATGGAAACTGCCATCCGCTATCCGAGCCGAAGAATCGAGGTTGAAAATCACACGGAGTATAGTAAAATTCCTTTTTTAATGCGATTTCTCTGCTGAGAGGGAATGTTTTGCTTTCATCTCTGAAATCAGGGAATCATATCGTATACTTTCGGTGAGGAATGTGGTAAAAAGTTATTCGTATACGAGCTACAGTATCCTCTACGGGGAGTTTAGTTACCCTAAAGGGAATGCCATACTTTCTTCTCGAGGTTCGTATAGAACTTTTTATCATATCTACCACTACCTAGAAGGCGGAAGATGGTATAATCTTTTCCTATAGGCAGTAAATTAAAAATCCTACAAGAATTCTTCTAAAATTCTTGTCTTTTCCATTTTTTTGGGTTATTGTAGTCTGCGTTCTTAGTACACCAAATTCCACCTACGTAATGTATGAACTTGTAATGATGGTTCTCAACAGGTTACAAAACCCAAAAATAAAATGAATAACAACATGCGATAGAGCCTGAACGAAGTTTTTACAAAAAAGTGTTTTTATTGAAAAAGTTCGATAACTTAAGTATCCAAACTTTTGGTAAACTGTAATTAATTACCTGTCTATACTTTACGTACCTATATTTAAAAAATCATTAAGGAGCTCGGTAAATTTAACGAAAATTATTTTAAAGTGATGTAAACAGTTATTTCCTAATGTTTAGAAAGCTTATTGTATTGTTATTGTTACTCTAAATGTAGCTATGTTTTTTTCGGTCCAGTTGAACTTGACCATTCCATATTTAGTATCGTTTTTATCGAATTTTGTAACAGGCAGCCATTCTTCGTATATGTTGCAGAACAACACATTGTTGTTGGGTTCGCTACAAGGCTGACTGAGAATCAATTCACACTCTTCTTTACGTGAAAATTTTTACCTTCGCTTCAATGAGTAGTCAATGTTAAAATAATTTGAACACATTACAAAAGTGTTACATTTAGTAATGAAAAATAAATATTTGCGTAAAGGGTAAACCAATATTGCGAGAGTGTATTATCTGGTACATATACGTCGATGAAACCTTGTGGAAATAACACTTTGAGGTAGGTCCGTTACAATGAAATACCTACGTTTGTAATGAACAATGGATATATGTAAGTGAAGCAAAAGCTCTAGATAATGTCGCTGTAATGAAGATGCTGTTCTATTCAAGATTATTTGTCACTATGACCTTTGAGAGACATCATCATCATCATCATAATAGGGCGTTAATCCCAAGACTGGTTATATACGCGCACTTCAACTTTTTCCTATCCTGAGATAATCTTCGCATTTCCCTGAAACTAGAACATCACACATCCTTAACTATTTATGAACAGTAATATGTCTCTAACTAGCCCCTCAAGTCTGAGAAAGTGTCATACCAACCTATCTCGTCTTTTTCTTATTGACTTCCGCATCGCCCTCTGTTCTCCTAGTCTTTCTTATAACTCCTTATTTCTAACTTTCTTTGTCCACGGCATCCTCATCATTCGTTTGTAACACCACTCCAACTAGTGAAATACCTGTCGTTATTGATGATATTCCCCGAGGTAGTGTCCGTCAGGACATCCAAATGGTGACTATATCACCAGGGGCGGCCTTAGTCATTGGAATGTTCCGGGCGGGTAAATTTTTGCGAGGCCCTGGTCTTTGTGGAATTAATTTTAATGATGATACTTGAAAAATTCAAAGTGATTCATAAATAAGTTTACAGTTTTAAAATTGTTTATCGAAAATTAAAAAAAATTTATAAAGACAAAGATAGCAAATTTGCGGCTTCTTTTAAGACTATTAAGAAATTTAAATAAACATTAGTAGTATGTACTATTACTACCTAACATTTTTCTAATTACATTGTTACGCGAATGTGCGAGGCCCCGGGCGGTTGCCCTGTTCGCCACCCCCAAAGGCCGCCCCTGTATATCACATAGAACGGACTCCATTATTTGAGCTTCTTTCGGTTAGTTATACTCAGTATATCATAATGTGGTAGTTTGCAGTTGTCTTCCACATCGCAGTGTCGTGTATTAGAATGCCATGCTGATCTTCGGCATGATCTCTGCCATCCTAGATATTGAGACTTGTCTTACAATTAGTCTGGTTTCGTATTTAGACCCCCCCCCTTCCTCAATTATCTTTGAATTTATGGCCAGGCTTCCGAAATCATCCAAGCTCGCAAGTCGATTCAGTTCTGTGCAGGAACTTCGTCAAGGTTCAAGTCCTATCGGATCGGATGGTTTATTAAAAAATGGTAATGGTCTTCAAGTGTCAAAACGTAAACGATATCAAATTAAAAGGTTTATTGAGAAATCGGTTATAAGAAAAAGATAGTTTAGAAGCTTCATACATTTAAAAAAAATATTAGTCGTGCACATGGCCTATAACTATTTGTACGTATATATACATATCAAGCTAGCATTGCAAACTTGTATGCTTTCTTCATTTCTAAAGTGCACTATAATTTGTCGCTAATTTGTTACCAAATCCAAAAATTTGTCGCTGCAGCTAATTACTAGAAAATATATAGGCAATAGACGAAATGCTAACCTAACATTAATAAATTGACACCACACACTGCATATAGCGTATCTCGAAATAAAAATGGCATAGAAAAATACTACCTAAGTAAGTGTTAATCATCATTTGCGGATAATTTGTCGCCGATCCCTGAAAGACGGTATACTTTTACCGATTTTGTCGGTATTCTTTCTTCCACTTGTCCAGCGAAACCTTCTGGCGAGCCACCACGCTGGCATTTACACATGGCGAATCTAGATGTATCTAAATAAAAATGGTGTAAAGAACTACTGTGAAGGCTGTAATTTTAGTTAATTTGTCGTTGAAAGACGGCATTTCACCCCTGTTGACGCGAAAACATTCTCGAGTTGATCAGCGAAAAACGATTAAGAACTACTAAATAGTTGACACTAACACAGCGTATCTCGATATGAAAATATTGTAGAAAAATACTGTAAAATGTAGTGAAAAAAGATGTCTTGGGTTTGCAGACTTGATCTTGGTCTTGTGAAAATACAAGATCACGGCCAATAATAATTAAAAAAAAAAGTGTTAGATTAAATCGAGGCTCTATCGACAAGACCAAGACTAAAAGTATTTGGGCAAGACCAAGATTAATTTATTATTTATTGCATTTAAATATTTTCAAAACTTGAAAAATTTGTCTATACTCATGTCCTTTATAATCAGTTTCAACTAGTGTTGCCCAAACGCAAGAACAAGACGAGACTTAGCCAGTCTTGGTCTTGGTCTTGCGCCAATACACCTGGTCTTGGTCTTGGTCTTGGTCTTGCGCTCCCAGTCTTGGTCTTGGTCTTGGTCTTGCAGCAAGAGTCTTGCAAGTCTTGCAATTACCTATTAGTCTATTACTATTTATTAAAGTTTACTTTAAATCCTAGAAAAACGTATTAGAATTGGAACATTGTGAGCTTGAATG